GCAGTGGTGAGGAACTCATTGCGAGGCGGAGTATCTAGCCCCAGTACTCCAGGATGTAGTCCAACAATGTGATCTCGACTCGAACCAGGAACTGCCTGATGAGTAATATAGCCGCAGTGAACGCTCTCATGTTCCTTTGTCAAACTCCACGACATCTCCCGCTTCACAGCTTGGCGCCTGAGCTCAGTCAAAGAACGGTGTCGAGGAATCTTCGGCAAATACATATAACGACTGCCAGTCTGGTAAAGCCACTGCTCAGCCTCAATAAATACTGCATCGGGATCCCTGGTAGAGTCTCCAAACAAGAAGTCAGTCTTCCTAAGAGACTGAACGGAACTGGCATCCTGCACGAGAGGCGCATCTGTGATCAGCTGGCGAAGAGCTTGATGGCCACCTTCCCTCACCACTTGGACAACTTCCAACGACGTGCCCGGAGCAAACTGGGAGGTGAACGGAATGGGCGAAAAGTCATCAGATGTGGAATAATACTCATCACGACGTCCATTCACCGCATGCGATGAAAAAGCTCCGGAAGGATATTCCACTGAAAACAAGCAGTTAAGTGTTTGTTAATTTCAGATATAAAAGGAAATTGAATTCATCTTACAAATTGGTAAGATAGAGTCATTGCCTTATAAAGGGCGAGACGATTTGGCCACATTGCGCATTTATAAGATAGGGTATATCGACAATATATCCCTGCCTTATAAAGCACAATGCAGCGTCAAAACGCCCCCTTTATTATGAGATGTGGTTTTGACCAAGCAAAACCCATCTTTAAAGCGTCGATCCTCACCAAGGAGAATCAAGGCTTTTCCCGATCGCCTCACCAAGGAGAGCAAAATAGGGTAAAAGGACTAAATTGCAAAATTCTCAGAAGAAGAGGGTTAATTTGCAAAATTTCCATAAAGCGTCGATCCTCACCAAGGAGAACCAAGGCCTTTCCCGGTTGCCTCACCAAGGAGAACAACGGGGGGTAAAATGGACTAATTTGCAAATATCCAGAAAAAAGAGGACTAATTTGTAAATTTTCGAAAAAGGTCAAAAAATTGCTCACCAGCATATGAGGGAGGCGCGCCATCAACCGATGCAGCAGGAAAACGACCTCTCGATACTCGCGACATAATGGCCTACAGAAAAAGAATTCAAGAGGTCAGATCTAGAAATAAAAATCACTTTTTTATCCCCTAAAAAGGCGAGCTTGAGGCATCAAATCACTCCCTCAACCCTTATATGCGATCCCGCTATTCCATACACTAGATCAAACATGAAATAGATCAAGATTATGGAGATATACCTGAGGGGAAGCTCGAGGATCCGACAAAAATTAGATCTTGGAAGTGCTCGAACCACGCGCTCGAGGGGCTCGAAGGAAAGTCTAAATATGGAAGTTTCGAGGGATTTCTCAGTCAAGGATCAAAAGGAAGGATGAATCTAAGACGAAGATCGAGTTTTGAGGGAGAACGGAGGCTCGAGGGAAGAGAAATTCAAAAAGGAGGCAAAAAGGGGGGGGCCGGCCCTAGGGTAAAGAAAAGACGTCGGACAACGCGTTGCAGATAAAGACTCGACGCCAACAATCGATGGTCAGCTAAATCAGGAACCGACTTCAAAGTTCAAAATTCCGACAACGGTCAGACAATAAATGCAGCACCGAAACTCTTTCAGACATTCGACAAAGCACCGAATAGCCTGGAGAATTGAAGGAATCAAGAACGGAAGTCATTCCAAGATCCCTTTACACCGACTGAAGGTTGGGACAAGCATATCCAAAGTATTCCAGACTCTTCTATAAAAGAACGAGACTGAAATACTTTGGAGGGGGTATCTGTAGGCATATAAAATTGCTTATAGGTCCCCTAGCATAGCTCGGCACAAACCGACGAGCCAACGAGGCGACGAGATCGACAAATCGCACGAAAGCAACGGTTTTTCCCGCGAACAGGTACGTTCAATACTACATCTATTATCTTGATTCCTAAAATTCTCAATCCCTAGTCTACTACTGATTTTAGGCCAATTGCTTATTGCAATTGTGTTTACAAAATTATTACAAAAATGATTGCAAATAGGATTCAAAAAGTCATGGGATCCTTGATTAGTGAAGCCCAGAGTGCATTTGTCAAACGAAGACTCATTTAAATTAATATTCTTTTAACACATGAACTCATTAAGCATTATGGTAGAAAATATACATCTCCTAGAGCCATTTTGAATATTGATTTGAGAAAAGCATTCGATACCATCAGTTGGGATTTTATTAGGTGCATGTTGACAGGCTTGGGGTTCCCTGACAATATGATTCTTTGGATCATTGAATGCATCTCCTCTCCAAAGTACTCTCTATTTATTAATGGTACACTACATAGATATTTTCAAGGAGCAAGAGGATTAAGGCAAGAAGATCCATTATCCCCCTATTTGTTTGTAATAGGATTGGAGTAGCTGTCTAGAAAACTTAACACTCTTAAAGAAGACATGCTTTATAAGTTCACCCCAAATGTTCCAAAATGAAAATCACACATCTAATTTTTGCAGAGGACCTCCTCTTATTTGGCAAAGCTGATATGTACTATATATCAAGGTTGAATGATTGTCTCATGGAGTTTAGCCAGGTTTCTGGTTTGGAACCAAACCCAGCCAAATGCTCTATATACATGAGTGGCATTGGAGATGATTTGAAGACTCAAATATTCAATTACCTAAATTTCTCAGAGGGGATGTTACCAATGAGATATCTAGGTATCCCTCTCATCTCTAAGAGGCTCTTATGGCTGGATTGTTCTTCTCTCATAAATAAGGTGTCGGATCAATTTCAAAATTGGCACAACAACAGAACCTTGTCTTATGCATGAAGATTGCAGCTGATTAAGTCAGTTATCCTGGGAATTCAAATCTTTTGGACAAGTGATTATATACTACCTATTAAAGTTCTAAAAAAGATTGATAGCATGCGTGTTGATTTTCTCTGGGGACATAAAATTCATTTGGTGTTCGGTCTTCTATCTGCCAGGATTTGAAGAATGGTGGATTGGGAGTCTCTTCGGTAAAATTTTGAAACTATGCATCTGTATCTAAGCTCCTTTGGATGATACATCTCAAAAAGGACATTCTTTGGATCAAATGGGTGCACAACAACTATTTGAGGCAATCAAATATTTGGCAAGTTCAACCTAAAGAGAATGATTCATGGATGTGGAAGAAAATGCTAAGGGTAAGGGATACACTGAGAGTAAAATTTAGAAATGTTGATAACCTATTAAACATCCTCAGTGGCTGCTGTGATAATAGAAATATCAGTAGATCTTCTATATATAGAAAGATCAATCAACAAGCATCATTAACTATATTCTCTGAAACTATTTGGGGGGATGACATTATCCTAAGCACTCATTTATCCTGTGGCTTGCCTCTCTATCCAGGCTACTAACACAAGAAAGATTGTGTAGATTGCGAATACTAAACACTAATCAATGTGTTTTTTCAAGCAATCGTCAAACGAAATACTATCATCATCTCTATTTTGAATGTCAGTATTCTGCAAATGTATGGAACAAAGTTATGGACTGGGTTGGATTTAACTGGAGGTCATGTAGTTGGAATCAGCTTGTAAACTGGCACAATATGAACTTGAGAGGGATGAATTTAAGAAGAAATTAAAGAGGATGGCTTTGTCGACTTCAGTGTACATGATATGAAAAGAAAGGAATCTCAGAATTTTTCAGCAAAGAGCTCGAGAACCTGACATATCGTTCCCTACAGTGAAGTTCATCATTTACTCAAAAATTTTGAATGAGAATGTTCCAATACATGTTAGGGAGTACTTAGAGGGATTGTTTTGAGTAGCCTGAGTGTTTTTACTAGGCTCTGTTGATAATTTGTAATGTACTTCGTAACTGCTTACTTGGTAAATGAATAAAATCTTTTTTCATTGACAAAAAAAAAACAAGAATAACAATATTTGAACATAATAGAAAACTAAAATATGAACATATCACATAAAAGTAATCAGATGTAAAGATACAAGATTTACATGGTTCGGTGATGTCTGTGTCCATGAGGAAAGATTTGAGTCTTCTATATCCTAGTGATTATGCAAGATTTGAACTTTCTACCACAAGAAATCCTCTCTCAATCACATTAAAGTTCCTTAGAAATTCTAGATTTCTCTCTTTTGCTTCTTCGCTATAACTCTTTTAGAATGTACAATTCGTTTTCTTTTTGGGGGGTTTGGACACAAATCCAGACTTGGAAGACCAGTATTCATAATGTCACACCTGAATACAATACCGAAGAAGACCCAAAATACATTAATTAGCCTCGAAGCAATTGGC